CCAATTCTGATTCTGAAGCTGTAAACAATAACTGAGACCCATGCGAGCTCTTACTAGTCTTGTACCGTGAGGATAATGTTGCAGCATGTAGACTCACGTTATGTACAGCAGCCTTCAGTAAAATCAATTAATTAATTTTACTTAAGTCACAGATGCTGATCACCCTCGCCTTAATAAAGGCAATGATCCAGCTGGATGACCTCTAGAGTAGGCGCTTCCCACACATTGATTTATTTGTGGCGACCCGACACATTATCAATGCTCTTTTTTGTTAGGCTACTATTTACAATGGGTAAAATCGTATTTGATCACAGAGCTCCGCGCAGCGCACAGCCTATATTCACTCAGCATCTCCTCTCGCGTCATTCTGTGGGAAACACTGTGTTTACAGACAATAATTGGGATTCATGTTGATGAATGTGGGCAGGAGGGTGAGTGTGAGCAAGCATTCTCAATGTGACAACCCTTTCCATTATTGGGTGGCTGGTAGTCACCCTATCTGCCATTTTGCTATTTTGGTTATGAAGTAATACCTATTTTCCACCATGTTGTCCACCTTTAGATGGCCTGCCTTACAACAACACGGGGCGCAGTGTCAAAGATGCGCTTTTTGTAGTCCATCTTCAGAACATTATAGTTTCATCATGGCAGGCCACGTCAGTAACATCCGCCGTCGCATAATTACGTCGCCTAGAAAAGAGCAGTCGGATTCTCTTAGACCCGCCGTCCTCTTTTCCTAAGTCCTTATGAATTCTCCTTCACATCTTTCCTTGACCTCCATCGAGGTCAAAGTAAGGTGATTAGGAAAGGAGATTTTTTTTACTTTTCGGATGCAGCCTAAATCTAAATCTAAAGTAAAAGTGGTTGCTAAGCAGCTTAAAACTACCTTCGATGAGCAAAATTTTCTTGTCATGTTTCTGTCTGGATTTCATGGTTGCACTGAAACTGATATTCGAGTCTCCAAATGCATGGATATGCAGGACAACACTGTGTTTTGGAATTGCTGCATCTCTTGGCAGCTTTTGACTATGGACCACAATCCTATTCTGTTTCCCTCTTCCATGCTTCCTCTTGGGCATCATTTTAAAGGTACCTCCTATCACTGTTATGTAGAAGATGTTCAATTACATATCATGAATGGCAGGTAAATTCTTACACCTCATTGCAGACAAAACGGAAAGTTCATATTTCTGCGTAAGTATGGCATACAGGATTATTACATGTGTCTGACCAAGTTGAAAATCAAATGTGTTTATTGATGTTCTGAATGGCCATACTGAAAGGTGAGGTGAAAAGCTGGCTGTCATAGAGAGGATGGAGACATGATATAATTGAAATATGGGGATAACGGCGTACATTTTCAGTCTCTGCTTGAAGGCATTAGTTGTGTTGCACTTGGTTGTTATCATGAAAAGTGAAAAGAATAAAAAAGAGAGCTAGAGAGAGAAGTTTTTAACCCTGGCTCCCTACTCACCTGCACAAAGCTGGCCAATCACAGAGTGAAGTGATGTGAATGTGAGTTTGTTGGTTTTGGAAAGCAACAAGCTGTTGAGACTGATGAAATATACCTGCCCCTTAAGCTGACTTTGCCCCTTAGTTGAGGGAAATTCCAGTTTATTTTTCTCTCTTCTTTAAATTCGGCTCTTTCAAAAATCTAGGAAGAGTGTTTGGTTTATTTATGTTTTTTCCTTCTGAGAAACATTACAAAATTCAGGTCCACTGTGGCTTAAACTGACATGGATATGATTATTTCCAGTTTTATTTCACCCCATCTAGACTATTGAAACTCACACTTAGCACTACATCCCTGGATTGCTTACCAGTGTTGACAAAACTACAAAACATTTGAGCTCTACAAAGTCTCCAACATCAGTGCCTGACCTTACTAATTCTTTTGAAGCTGAATGGGAGCAACCAAGTGCAGCCACGTTCCAAACTATGGTGGAAAGCCTCCCCAGAAGGGAGGAGGCTGTTTTAGCTCCCATGGTTTTGGAATGAGATTTTCAACAATTCCATAGGGGTGTAATGTTTGGGTGTTCAAATCCTTTTGCCATGCAGTATATGTTTGTGCATATACTAGATGTTTGCTTGTACTTATGTACATCCCACACACTCTAGCGCGAGTACAGGAAAGAAATGCAAGGTCATGTGGTGCAAAAAGGCGATTTAAAATGGTTATTTTTCAGACATCGTTTTAAGATGATCCTCTCAGTGTCTGATCTCTAAATGAACGCTAACGTTTAAATCCCCCTCTCTCTCTCCTTTTTCGCCTCACTCTCTTTGATCCCAACCTGTTAAACCTCTGAGTTGTATTTGAATCCCAGGGGCCACAAACAAGATTTTTAAGTGAAAGTAGATCTTTAAATGTGCTGGCCTTCTTAGCCATTTGGGTGATGTATGCTAACAGATTTGAAGCTGTCTAAGCACTCCAGTACTGCACGTTGTTTTAACAAATTTCTGCCATTGATGAAAACAAAAAAGTATTTGTATGTACCTGAAAAGATTAAATTCTTTATTTATATATTTAGATTATATTCAACATTATTTTAACAGACATTTATAATAAGATCAAGAATCCCCTTTATGAGGGGATTGCTAAATCTCTGATTTCTATGGGAACCAAGAAAGCTATAACCTTGTAGTTCTAACGATAAAAATATAAAGTAAGGGATTATGCATAGTCTCCTTTTTATTTATATACAGTCTATTATAGTCTCATCCTTGAATTTGAGGCAGAGTAGAAGCACGATAGGCCTCTGATCATTTATTGTCCTCTATTAGAGGAAATTTGTTTCCACAGTCTATACACACATAAGAACAATTAAGGAACATCAATCAATCAAACTAACACAATCACATAGCCACAAGGAATACAAAGGGCACACACTCCGTTTAAGAGCCTTTAAAAGCATTAGGAATGATGCTTCATTGTAGTGTTGTTCTGAGTAAGGTAGTGTGGAAATAGATGTGGTCTGGTTAAGCAGATCAATTAACAGCCAACAGAAAATAAAACATTACAAATACAGGTAACAGAAAGGCAGACACATCTGCTGATATGTTACTAGCTTTTCCACTGTGATTAAAAGACAAATCCATCTATTAGCAGCTGTCTGTTCATGTACTTCATACATGTATTAAGTGTTTCAGATTATCAGATATTGTTAAGAGTGTTTGCTGGTCATGGCTGAAAAGCCCATTTATAGCAAAGACTCTATTGTGTGAACTGTAAACAAAACTTCAGTCATCCTATCACGATGCATACCTAGAGGACATTTTTAGGTCCACTAGGTGCTGTCAGAGACTGCTAGGCTGTGAATCCTATAGTCCAGAAATGTGGGATTAGTTAAGGCTGTTGCCTCTCCAGCTGCAGGTCAGTTTTATAAGCCTCTAAGATGTATTTGAAAGATAAAATTCATCCTCGGCCAAAGGTCACTTATTTCAGCAATATCTAAGCTTTAGTTCATATTTGCACACACGTTTCTGTGTACATACTGTACATCAAGCACACCATAGTGAATGTGTGGTGTGGAAATTTAGACTGACATGTAATATTATCACACAACTTATTTTGAAATCTCAAATCTAGTTAATGTGCTGTTCCTGGATTGTGATGTTCACTGTATTAATCAAAACCTGATTAATTTAATGAAAAATATTTCATTCCTGATTATTTCTTTGTTTCCGTCATTCTGCAATTACACCCCCAAAAACTAGTCGGCAGTAGAGGTACAGCGTCCACTGTGTTGACTTTTTCCGGCCGAGCAGGCTAACTTCCAGTTTAGCCCTCCGCTAACGTAAATGGGGGTAAAATTGTAAACGTACAGCTGGTGTAGCCTTTTCAAATGTTACTGACCGAATGGATCACATTCTGATAGCGAAACGAGTATTTTCGCTCGGGTTGTGACGGTCAAATATACTGATTCACTGTGTTACAGCCGCCGTTTTGGCCGCTAGTAAATGTTACTTCAAAGCGCGGGATACTTCCATTCGGCTCGGAGGCATTGCGAAGCTACGTAGCTGACCAATCACAGAGCTTACGGTCCGTGTCGACTCGATGTGTAGTTACATTTTTGAGAAGGTGCATGTCAGGCGACGGCGTAGCCTCTGCGTAGCCCCGTTGCCTACGGCATTACCTACGACGTTGATTTGACACAGAAGTATAAATTGCACTTAATGAGTTACAATATCACTAATAACATTACAGTTGATAATCCTAGTAATGGTCTGCAACATTGACATTTGGGAGTCAGCTTGTCTGCTTGTTAAACCCCCATGTCTCTCTTTCCATTGCTACATGTGTTAAATACAGAAGATGCAATGTGTAGGTGGAGGATTTGGAGTTGTTTAAAAGGTATACAGCCATCTAATACACACACATATGCAGATGACATATGGCACAACATATGGATGTTGTAATAACTAAACCTGACGGTTGCATAAAGACAGCTTATTTATTTTAACTGAAAAATTAGCACGGCATGGGCCCTAAGTTCCTGAGTACTGCTCAATACTTAAAGGCCATGTGTAATTCAAGCCTATAGCTTGTTTGTAAAATGTCAATGTTGGAGTTACAAGGTAGATGAAGAGGTAGATAGAGACACATGGCGTTTTACAGTAATACCATTCATATAGGTCAAATAGGCATCAAGTCATTTAGCTGCTGTACTGGTTGATCTGTGACTGCTGCGTATTTACCAAGGATATCAAATCACTCTCTTTCTGTCTCCATTAAGACTTCCTGGTATTTACAGCAGCTTTAACATAGCATGACATCTGAACATTTAAGTAATCGAGAGTTATAATAAGATCAGAGGTTTGGCCAGCGGTGGATTTCCAGGCAAAGGATTAGGGTTAAGGTTAAGTATTTCTTGACCTTCTGAGATGTAAATAATCTCAATGTAAGGCCACCTTATTTTGCAATTTATTTGGTTGATTGAATTATTTTATGTATTCTACTGGAAACCAGGATTAGAAACATGGTAAAAGTTTATAATTTATTTATTTGCAAGGATAGTACATATTAACATGACAGCTCAAAATATGCCAGAGTTAGCCAAAAGGCTATTTTTCATCTGTAGTCCTAGGCCCGATGTACAATAGGCACCCTGAAAATAGGTAATAGGTAAAACAAATTGATTGTCACATGGCAAAAATACAATAAACATTACATTTGCTACAGTAGCAGGAATAGGACGCCAAAACAAACTTAAGAGAGCTTAAGTAGAAATGCAGCTGGAGGCGACAGAACATAAGAGCACAAGCTGCAGTTCATAAAACAACTACAGTCAATATTAAGAACACAGTCAAAGACATTAGTCAGTTATAATACAAAGCTTAAGAGGCAGAGTAAACATTAAAATGCAGCAGTATCGAAATTAATTAAAAAAAACATGCAAGATGACTCAAGAACGCGGCGGTGGAAGTTCAGTGCTGGCATGTTTGACTGCTAAGGAGCCAATGTTTTAATGATGAATGGAATACATTATAACTATTAATTTCTCTGATTGACGTTGGGATGTTGTTCCATTCTTTTGAAGCTTTAATAGAAAAGGCTGACTGACTAAACGCAGTTTTCCTGAATGGAATGACACAGTCCCCTCTGGATGTTCCTCGAGTGAGCTGACTGGAGTTGGACCTTAAACTCAGAAACTCACTAAGAGGTGGAGGGGCCAGGCCATGAAGGATTTCATATGCTAGACAGATACTTGTGAACTTAACAAAATTTTCCCAACTTAATAAATTATAGTTTGACAGAATATTGCAGTGATGAAATTGACGTGGTTTCTTATCCAAAACTTTAAGTGTTTGGGACTGTATTGGTTTTAAAGTGGTGTGGTTGGCCTGAGACCAGATGGTGAGGCAGTAAGTCATATGCGAAAAAATCAGTGAATGCATAAACATTTTGGCTGCTCGCAGTTATGCCACTGAATGGCATGGCTGTCCCTCATCTGGGTGGGTGTGGAGTTTGATTTCCCATGTGAAGGTAACGGGTAATTGGGACAGCAAGCACTGGAGATTTACCATTTATAAACACACACAAGGATACACAAATGTATACATTAATATTTGTCCACAGCTTAGAAATATAGGTTAACGCTACAAAAGTAAGTAGGAAGAGATATGCATTATTGGTCCCAGATGTTTCCATTATGGTCTTATTGTTGTGCGACATAGGTTTTCAGGATTAGAATTAAAAACATATGCAGCTCATGTGTTGAAATCTTAGAAGTGCAGATTTCCATATAGGATACACAATAAAAGTAGTTGACTTTTCTATAAAATACTATATCTTTAATTCAGTGTATGGGTTACTGCTTATCTGGTTCTGAGTAGCAGTGCCAGTAGGGTAAGTAAGGCAGGCGAGACTTTCTTCTCCCCAGCCATATTCTCCAGCTCTGCTTGACTGATCCTGAGGCAAGGCTGGACATCGGGATTCTTATTCCAATCAGATGCACAAACAACCTCAGTTGGCTTCTTTCAAGGCTACTGTGAGTTAATTCTGGATGGTTGAGCTCCTAACTCTCTAAGGTTAAATTCTGGAATGTCTTGGACCATGAAAAAAGTGGTAAATCGAGAGCTAGGACTTCAGACTCTCCATCATCACCATGACGGTCTGGCACCATGCCCACATCACTTGCATTGATCCATCTGCTGATGATCATGCACCATCTTTCCCTCACTAATGATTCAGTGAACAAGACCCCGAGTTACTTGAACTACTTCACATGAGGCAGCAACTCTATCTCAACCTGAATGGAGCAATCCACAAGGCCTCAGACTTGGAGGTGCTGACTATGATTCAAAAACCTCAGGGTTTTACCTTGTGAGTTGGTTAGCAAAAGTGTTGAGCCACTGATGATAAAATCCAGCTGGTCAACACAGTGCTTGAAGTGGAAAAAAGTAGGTGCCAGTTCAAAATTCAAAATATAATGAAATATAATTCAGATAATTTAATAATCAGCTTTACACAATGCAAATATGTTTCTTCTATATTTCAACTGCATTGCATGTTTTCCTTTTGTGCATTGTTTCATTTGTTATTTAACATTTCTTGTTGCTGTTTTTTAAGATTATTTTTAACAAAAGCGTTCAAAAAGTGATGGAGACATTCAGATTCTGGCCTGTCCCCAGCATCCCCAGTGTAAATGACACCTATCTGTCAACACTTTTAAATGTCCCCATCCAGGCTGTGATTGGTCGGTTCACGACAAGTGACATTGACGAGCGACATTCAGCACACTGCTGCTTGAAAGACATGCCATAGAGCTTCTCTTCTCCCTCGTCTTTCTCCGCCGACAGAGATAAGGAGGCAGGCGAGAATGGGAACAGGTGAGCATCACGTAGTGCTCAGAAAACCTGATATGGAGAGGGCACAGGAGAGTTCCGGCAGCTTGGGAGAAGTCCCGGTACACAAGAAAATGTCCCGGTATGCCAAAGAGTAAAATATGGAGGTGCTGTACTGCAAACTTCATCTTAATGCAGACTCGACTGGGTAAAACGCATGTCGAATTGGTGATTATCAAACTCACTTCAGCCTGGTGTCTGACCTGTAGTAGGTGAATTTTATTCTCACAGCCTCTAATTTTCCCAATTTAACTTTTTCCCGACACTGCGACGTTCTGCTCTGTTTAATTACTGCTAATGAACATATGATCAAATTGATCAGGCAATCACCAGCTGAGCTGAATCACAAAGCTAATTTTGCGATCAATCCAGTTACTATCCGATATGTCTCACTCATTAAATATGTGGTCTCTCTAGCACCACTGCTTGTGTTTCCCCTGAAAGTTAACAAGCACTGTATTATATTTCATAAAAATGTAATTTCTTCTGATGTTAGAGGAGGGGCTCTTTATTTCAGGCAAGGAAAGACCTCATTTCCATAAAACTGAATTGGTGGCAAGGGACAACCCTAAGCCTGACGAGACCAAACAACTGCTCTTTTCTGAAGTCTCTGCTCCATAAAGGTGAATTGCTTAGTCTGACCTCTTACCTGGGACACATTTGTCTTGGAGACAACACATGATCCAACATCACTTGGACACACAAACTTTTCCACCACAATAAAGTACAGTAAAGAGAGTATTTCAGACACCACTGACCCCACTGAATATTCTCAACCCTAAATAATACTAGTGTGTTATTGTCACTGGCTCACAGGGTGAGGCAAAATTTACTTAATTTGAGTCTTTGGCTAAAATGCACCTGTATAAAGAGTGAAGATACGAAGTAAAAGCATGGATTATTAAACTTTTAATGGTCAGGCAACATAGGGAGTAAATCCAGCCTCCCACCATGGGATGTAATATCATTACTAACTAGTTATGTCACAGATGGGGAAAGGATGGTGGCAGAAAGAGGCCCATGACCCAGTTTAGATCACATTGCAAAAAGATTATAACTGGAGTCACCAAAAATATGTCTTTGTAATGCATTTTCTGGTCTAATTCCTAAACACTTATTCTACTTATTTTATTGTAACCTTTGAGAAACCATGGGGTGGTTCGGTTTCTGGTCTTTCACTCCTTCCATCTGTGTCATGGGGCGTTCCTCCTGAACCCTTGGAGAGAACTTGACTGATGTGTGACATCGCTTTCTCTCCCCCATGTTCCCCCCCCAGTCCTTCCTCCATCACGTCACACAGCGTGTCCTGCGGGATCCGGGAAATGATTAAGGAAGACAGCTTCAAATACCTTTCAAGTCTCTCCCTGATGGCACCACAAAGTAGGTGGGCATGGAGAAGGTGGGAGTTGGCAAGAGGAGAATGCCAAGCTGCCTGGTAGAGAATGGAGGTAAGGTGAATATTTGATTGTATGGGTTCTGATGTATGTATGTGTGTAGGTGCCTGTCTATGTCTAGAGTTGAAGGTGTGAGTGTGTCATTTGCATTTGAAACCAGTATACTGTATGCAAATGGTTATGCATGTGTGTGTGTGTGCGTGTGTGTGTGTGTGTGAATGTAAGGATAAGAAAGAAACACAAAAGAGGTGCAGATATGAGGAAAACTGAAAGATCAAGTTTGGCCTTTTGAGCTCCCGTAGAAGAAGATTTCATCTCCTTTAAATTTGTAATATGCTTCACATGTCTTGATCACAGTGACATACATAGAGGGTCCCTCATTGTGACATGCTGCTCATTGTGGCATGACAGGGTGTGTGCATGTGTGAATACATATCTTTGTGTGTATGTCTATGTACAGTTATGTGCCTATGTAAGTGTGCGCATGGGTCTATGTGAGGGAGAGATAATGAGATCTTGTTCAGCTGAGGCCTGGTCTTGATCCCCAGAAGCCCTGGACTCATTTCAGTGAGAAACCTCTGAACAGAGTGAATACGAGACTGAACACCTCTGGCAGAAACACAAGCCTGGTCTCATGTACAGGGAGGGATCCAAGCGGACCATGAGCCCGTTATGCACTATAAGCCTATATAAATCCAGGATGATGGTCATTGTTGTTTTTTGAAAGGATATTTTTATTTGTCATTATTACTCAATTTCCATTTTCCTTTTTTTACAAGGAATACTATAATCTGTGTTGTTCCTCTGCTTTCACCTCACTCAGTAATCAGTTCAGATGCTTTCTATCTTTCTCCTGCAGGGCTTTTCTTAGTGTCTACCTTTTCTGAGCTGCCCTTTTTTTTAATCTCAGACTGTACAGCAGAAAGATGGTGCACTGGAACTTGTTTGATGGCCCAAGCGGGGGGGTTACTATTTTATTTAAGATGGCATCTATGACCCTAATTTTATGTATTTCAACAGAACAGTATCTTAAAAATATATACATTTCTATGTTTTACCTCTGTAAATTTGGTTTTGTGTCAGTTGGAATAATTCCAGTTAAATTTCAGAAAAGACCAGGATTATAAGAACAGTAAACCTTTTAAAAAGCATCTACTCACTGTAAATTCAGCACTGTAGTTAAACCCTCTTTAATCAAACTAAATTCTTCTGTCCAGTCATATATACCAACATTAGTCAAGAGGTCAGTCTATTAACATAAACACCAGCATGTTCACAAATAACTAAATAAAGGAGTTCACAGTTTGCAACAACTCTATTACATAACCATGTTTAGATAGTTTGTTTGATAGTTGAGGCAATGTTAG